TTTGAAATTAAAGAATTCAAAATATATGAGTTGGATTCACGAAATAAAATACGAATTACATCACTTATGTCATAACGATTTAACATGTCACTAGAGTGTAAAACCTTCTTACTTATATAAGAGTCTCTTATAAACAAAATATAGTAGAAATATTAAATATATAAATAAGTAAATCTTGCATCTTAGTAACACTTTTTAGAATTGTATGAACCTAAATCTAAGATGAACAATATAAGATTTAGCAAACAATATCAGTAGCCAACTGTGTTTTAGGTCGAGTATCTGTTAATGAATCTTATAGGCATGCAGCTTCAGAGGGTCCTATTGTGTCCCTACGACAACTTAGCTTGGATCCAAGTTAGTACTACGAGGCTCATCAATACAAAAGACAAACAATGTGTCATTGGGTCAATGTACTGAAAGCTAGTAGGATCACACAACTCAATATGATTCTTGGCATATATATATACTCCTCAAAGAAATACTAAAAAATAATGTTGATAAAAGTACCGTAATAATCTCTCAACACGTTACACGAGTATACTTTGCTATGAGACTTCTGTTAAATCCGATTTGATTATTATTTGGCCCATATTATAAAGTATTCAATTAATTATTTGCTCATTTATTTATTGATCATTATTCTATTCATTCATCCAAGTTCATTTCAATTCGTGCACTTTGATATCCCTAATTACAATTTTTTTTATTTTAAAAGGTGGTCTTATATGTGTTTCACATTAGAGAGCTAGAAAGTGTCGATTTCACATATCAGAGAAAAAACACAAATCATTGCCGACAGATGATTCGAGTGTCCTGAAATTTTCGTAGTTCAATTGATTAACGATTTAAGTTTTTTATCTTGTTAATGAGAATTTAATTTCTCACCTTATAATCTGTCCCGCATTTCACCTTTGCTGCCCGAATTTATTTAAAGGAAAAAGAAAAGTAGATCCCCTTGTTGTCTAGTCAACCTATGAAGTGCCAATATATGTATTAATTATAGTGTACTGCAATATATGCCCACCGCTCTTCTCCTGAATGATGGGTTCTTTTTTTCTATTTTCACGGATGCAAATGGAAATTAAGAATGGGTGAAGGATGTCTGCACTTGTGACAATCAGTTTGGTTAAAAATCAAAATAAATAACTTACTTACGTACAACCTTAATGGGGAGGAATGTCTGCACTTGTGATAATCAGTTCGGTAATTAAATGGAGAAAAGGACTGATTTAACTCATACATATAAGTATAACTTAAATTGAATTTATTCAGGACATGGTGAGTGTCACTTTCGAGTTAATAAGACGAGAAAAGCGACACTAAGATGATTAAGGTATGCGAAAGAAAATGCATAAATATCCGAGCGAAAAAGTGTGAGAGATTGCGTATATATAGTTGGTATAAACAGAAGTAAAAACAGATCGAAGAAGTCTTTGAAAGATGAATATGATTCACTTGTAGTTTATTGGTCGCTAGGACATGACCCTAGCTAAGTCTACATACTCGAACTACAAATATATCTAACATAATATCTCTAGATTCATAAAGATAATGGTAGAACTGCATATACACCACTTTCTTCAAATATCATTAGCGATATTATACTTGATATGTTGTTGTTGTTATTTTTTTTGTAAGTAAATATTTTATTATCAAAAAGAAGTTTACGGCTCAAAAAAAAAAAACACAGAAAGATTACTCCAACTAGATCAAACACAACTAATAACCTTCCATCTCCTAACCATCTATAAACTACTTTAGCTTGGATAGTAGTTCAACATCGCCAAGTATTTAGTTAATTTCACTTTAAGACAACCTCTGAAATATACGTCTTGAATTATTCTCTTGCATAATTACATATAACATAAAAATGAATTTAATTTATAATATCGGTGTAAATTATTAATCTATTTTAACAGATTTTCAAGAAACTTATTCTACATATTATGTGCAGTCATCTTTTATATGATCTAATGATATTTTAAAAGTTATTTTATAATGTATGTGACAAAAGTTAAACTCATAAGGACATTGATGAAGAAAAAAGAGAATGACAGTTGTGAAAGTTGGTGGAAACAATTTTCTACTCTTTTACCTTTACACACTTTGTCCCTCTAATTATTTCCACTAAAACATTGATCATAACAAATCTTTTCTGGTTGAACTACAATTTGTTACTACTTAACCAAACAAATACTAATAAAATAGAGTTGTTTTCCTTGTGGATTGAGTTAACTTTTTTTACTTCTAAAACAAAATTGCTCCTCAACACCCAACAAGTTAATTCTTTATTTATACAGGGTTTTTTTTAATACACTATAGGTTCATATTTATTTTTTAAAAAAATATATAGCTATAGTATGTTCCTTTCCAATAAAATTTCAGTCTCAAAAATATTACGTACTAAAGTACTACATTGAACATTCTTTTATCACCTTTATTATCATTGTCACAGTCCCCAATTATCACCTTAATCATTGTTTTCCATTTTTCTTCTTATTAGTCAACATATGTTTCTATTCCTTTATCTTTTTATGTCTCCCTTCTTTTACTTTTTCTTTCTTAAAAAAAATTAAAATCATTAATAATTGCTTAGGGCAATTACACCAGGAGAATACGAATTCTGTAAAATTCAATATTTTTTATTCATATTTTATACATGTGTTGTGTTGAGAATTTATTAAATAGACGTAGATATCGATATACTGTAAATTCATTAACTTAAAACATGTAAAATCTTGAATTCGTCTCCGCCTCTCAGTGACACCGATCCTGTTTAGGCTGATAAATTATTATAAGATGTCAATTCCTTTATTTTTGTTCTGTTCTGTGTAGAAGAAAGAATGTAGGTCCAAGAAAAAAAACTCAATAATTAGGTTCACATGCATTCAAAGTGACCCCCCAATTAATATACTACTCCATAGACAATACTTTCTAGTTTCTACGTAATTAAATTATTTTAACAAAAATAAAATAAACCAAGGCCAGCTAGGAGAAAAAATATATTCAATTAATATTGAGATTATGTATAATTTTTTGTTGGGTGCACGTGGGAAGGAGACTCTGGTTATAGGGCCTACCATACATGTTCATGTGGTTCATTCATATATATATCTGGATGGGCCTCTTGTTTTGATTCTTTTAATATCCTTAAGCTATTCATCATTGAATATTATTTTTTTCATCAGCAAATTATTGGGGTATTTGTTTCTATACGTAAAGATAACTTGTCAGTTTCTTACGTACAGATATTAGATGACTAGATAGTACATGAATATTATTATGTAAGACATGAGAATAAAGGTAATTTATTCGTCTCAATTTAAGTGTCTTATTTTTTTTTTGAATATGGTAAATTTAAGTTTACGTGATTTAAAAAAACTACAAATATCTTTAAGTTTAAGAATCTTTATTTATTTCTTAAACTTCGTATTCAGTAAAACTAAGACACTTATATTAGAACAGAGGAAATATTTAAAAGTTGATGGAGGGACCCTTTGTTGATCAGTACATGTAATGAGAAGACTTTAATTCATGGAGTTTTATGGTGATAGTGAATGTTGAATATGAAAGATTGATATAGCTTGCTCACATGCAAACTAGGCCCATTTGCTATAAGTGAAAATTGGGACTTGTAATGGGGAAAAAATACTTAAGAGAACTGAGGTATATATCTATCTTTTTTCAGTAGAAGCAAATGGTGTCTCTTTGGAAAATTTCACTTAATAAGGAGGGTTTTTCCTCTCTTATACTGTTTTCTACTCTAGCATATCTCTTATGTTGTAAGAAAGATATGATTTTTTTTCTTTTTACTCTATTTATCAGTTTGAGTTTTTGATTTATCTGATTCTATCATAGGTGTGGGACCCTTTAATTTCTTTCTCCTATTCCCAAAAATAGATGAAGTTGAGTTACCATAGAGGATGTATTATTAGTGTCCATATTCTTCAAATTGCATCTTATTTGTGGCTTTCCAAGTCATTAAGCAATTAGATGGATATCCTTCACCTCCCAAAGATATGAGTTGGAAATTTTCTTGATTCTCTTGTGATTCTCACTAGTGCTTGAACCTCAAGTATTAGCACGTTGAAATTATGTTCCATGTACACTACTTTAATCCTTTTTATTTGACTAAATAGCTATAGTGTTTAAACTTGTGAAATTTATCACCCTTTTCCCTTTCTTCTTTTTTTTTTAAAGTGGAAAGCACCTCTATGTTTTTATAATGGCGATGTCTGTACATGGAATTTAGAAAACATTAGATTTTTGTTACATGTCAAATGTACTCTTAGAAAATTTGTTGTATTAAACGCACCATGACATTTTTATGGCTATTAACAGATGGTTAATTACGATAAAATAAGATACTCAAATTACGAGAAACTGAAATATAAAAATATGTTCATCCTTTTAAAATATATAAAAGAGTGCTACGTAAAATGAAACGAAGATAAAAAAAATGTCTTTAACTCTTATTACATAGGTGTAAGGGAAGGAAAAAATATGAGAGTAGATTACAAAGTGGGAAATCGAACTCTCTACAATAAAGTGAAAAAAGTTGAAGTAATTACCCAATAATTGATGTACTAAAATCCGAGGGGATTTTTTAGTTTCCCACGCGGTATTTGCCACCCGCATTAGGGCCGACTACATCCAAATTTGTGCTGGAAAGACATATATTGGAATTAAAACACTCTCTAGCAAAGATGATTCCTCACCTTGGAGGGCTTCGAACACCACACATCTAATTAAGGAGGAGGAATGAATATTTACCGCTCCATCACAACTCCTATCGGTTATAATAAGTTTTCTTGATCACAAATTAATTATGGAGAGTGGAATTGACTTTGAAGAGTGTGAAAAGTAAAAACTATCTCCATCTGTAGGAGACAAGGATAGACACCCATTTAGGCTATATATCTTAGCAGATAGTCGCTTTCTGCAAAGGATTCTTTTTTGTTTAAATAAGAAAATACGTAAGTGGCTACAACGGTAAAAACTAGAAAAGTCATAAAACTTTTTGATTGAATGCTTAATCAACAAACAAAATTACAACCTGTAAATAAAAAGATCTACAAACCACAAAACCAAAAAAAACAAAAAGTACATATACCATCCACAAAAGGAGGATGATCAACAAACTTTCCAATATTTTTATCTAAGTGTTTTTTAGACAAAGGAAGGAAATATGTGTAAGACCTATTTACAGATTAAGAAAAAAAATAAAATTAAAACTCTATAGCACACACCTGTAGGAAATTAAGTAACCATCCATAATAAGTGAGATAATTAGCCATTGAAAATCGGCTAAGAAAATTGTCCGAAGACGGCGGGAAGCCTTTGGAAATTGTTGTTACTGTATAAATCTGCAGTCTGTAGAGAAGTCTGCGGCGTTTGATTCTGAAGCCATGAACCTTGTGTCATAAATTGTGTCTCCGATTTTGTTTCCCCGTCGTACAATTCATGATGCGGAGGAATTTGATGATGAGTCTCAATTGTGTTATTATTAACACCTAGTGAAAACGGAGTTTGTAAATATTCGGACCATTTGATTTCTTCTCTCTCCGGTTTTCCCGAACCGTCTGCTGCTGCCGCTGATCCCCAAGCGAAAGCTGCAGCAGCATTGTTATCGAAGAATGAACAGTTACTTTGTAATTCGATACTGTTACTAGTACCATTACTATTGTTGCTGCCATTGCTGCTGATCGTACACGCTTCCCAATTCTGAAACTTGTTGATATTAAAAGTACGCGCCAACGGTGATATTGTAGTACTGAGAATCGAATTGGACATAGTAGAAAAAGTAGCATTTGGCAAATTGCTACAATTGAACTGATGATCAGATACCAAATTGTCAGCAGCAGCAGCAGCAGAAGAAGAGTTTTTGGTATTGAAGAGAATATTATTTGTGTTGGGAGTATAATTGTGAAAAGAGAGATAACCAGACAAATCAGGAGACTTGCAATTGGTGGTGAAAAATTCATGAGTTGGTGGGGCAATATTATTTGCCTCATGAATAAGTGGATACCGCTCCAAAGTATTTATCATTGAAGATACGGCCGGCTTAATTGGCTTTTCTGTTGAAAATCCATTCTCATGTCCCTCAACAAAATTGAATTCATTATTTGAACTTTCTGAAACTTTGTCATTGTTCTTATTGTTACTGTTTGCCGACGCTTTCTCTTCGCTCTCTATTTCGGAAAGTGGCTTGTGAGTATTCGGATCGATTCCTCTTTGCCTTAGCTTTTTCTTAATTGAAGAGTTCCACAGATTCTTTATCTCGTTATCTGTTCTTCCAGGCAATCTAGCTGCAATTTGCGACCACCTGAAAGGTAGGCAAAAAACTAAGGTAAGTCCAAGTAAATTACTAATAATTATTGACATTATGTAATCAATCAAATTGTACTGTTCTAGTGAAGGATAAATATATTACTTGTTCCCAAGAACTGCATGAAGTTCAATGATCAAATTCTCTTCATCCTGTGAGAATGTCCCTCTTTTCAAATCAGGCCTCAAGTAGTTGATCCACCTCAGTCTACAACTTTTTCCACACCTCTGGAGACCTGTCACCATGAAAAATAAATAAAATCACTAACAAGAAAATTATTAAAATAACAACAATTACGTCTCAAGTTAAGGTCGACTATAAAATGTTATTTTTTTCAATTTGAACATGCATTTTTTCCAATGAAATTTGGTTAGTGGTAGTGATAGTGGACCTGCTAGTTTAGGGACAGAGCTCCAACAGCCATGACCAAATTTAGTAATATGCTTTATAAGTTTCTCATCTTCTTCAGGAGACCAAAGGCCTTTCCTTAACTTCTGTTTGTAGCAACAAGAATGCCTCCCCATGTGATATTTGCAATGCTGGAAAACCAAAAAAAATAAAAAGAAATAAAAAAGAGCGAAGTTTGTGATTTTTTTTTAGTTGAATATGCTAAGTGAAGCTTGTTGATTATATTATTTTTCTCTTGCTAAGAATCAAAGAAAGTTTAGAAAGAGAGAGAGAGAGAGAGAGAAAAAGATGTAAGGAAGGAGAGTGGAAGCTGTGGAAAATGAAATGGATAGGAGGGCGGAGGAGACTTATATATAAAGAAGGTCGTATTCAGTAGATGATTCCATTTTTGAGGTTTATTTGTTTAATTTTTTCTTTTAATAAATACTCTCACCGTCTTAAATTATGTGACATTCAGTTGATATTTAATATATATAATAAAGCCTTTTGAGAGTGGAAATGAACAAATGAAATCTATTGATTTAAGTAAAAGGAAATTATTCCATATTTTGTTTATAAAAATAAGTATCTCTGCTAAAAATATATATGAACATTTCAACAAATTGCAAACGTTTATATGACTATATAAGTATTACTAGTACTTCAATAAGGGTAAAATAATTTTTAAAAATTATATTATTTTTAATATTAGAATGTGATTTTATAAGATAAATTTAAAAAGAAAGTACGTCATATAAATTTAATTGGCACGAGTTTTCTTCTCATTCCTTATTTTTTCCCCTTTAAAATCCCATTTTACCTATGCTACATTTGAAATTTAGAAATGGAGCTCCAATATTCTGACTTGCATTTGTCTTATCAAAGGGTTTTGAGAAATTAATGAGTTTGACAGCACTTGTGTGGGTCACCAAGACAGATATTTATTTCATGGCCACAATATGATTTTCGCAATAACTATTACTCGAAAAGTCTTTGTACAAAATTGAATTAAAATTTGAGACAAGTTGTAATTTGGATGACTTTGTTTAAGATAAGAAATTCATTGAGTTTGATATTGTGGATTCAAATTAATATTCCTTCATTTTAAAAGTTCAAGAAAAATTTAATGAAATACTTTTTTCAAATTTATTCTTAAAAATAATTATTTTTAGAGATGATAAACATTTCAATAGAACAAATATTTAATGAAAATAGACTATATTATCTTAAAACATAAATCAGAATAAAATCACCAAAAATCTCTTTTAATTACTGTTTTCTTAACAAACATGTAAAATAGAAATACGACAGATAATTTGTGACAAAGAGAGTATTGATTTTGAGTTAGTTTAATTATAAAGATTCCAAAGCATTAAAAAAGGGTTAGTACATTTGAATAAGTTTATAGGGGTTTGCAGACGAGAAATCTCAATGATTAGTAAAAGCTAGCAATTAGGGTAAACTAAATTAATTAATGGTAGAAAAAACCTTCTGTAATCATACATTCCCTTGTCTTTCATTATTGACATAATATAAAATTCCCTAAACTCTTATCACATAATTTTATATGGATATTGGCCAGGTGGAATTCAAATAATGAAATTGTCTTTTCTATTTTCTTGTTTTGCAGTATTGGTCCGTGAATTATTTTTGTGAACTGATTATAATCTTTTTCTATAACGTCATTATAGTTTAATGAATAATTTAAAAATATGCAAATAGTTTATAAGTATTTTTTTTTTCTAGGAACATGTATGGTATCTTCCCCTATCATCTTATTCCACCAACTCCCCTATCATTTTTAATTTTTTTTGTAGACAGAATCAAATGAGATAAAGAAAACAAATAATACTCTTAACATTTCCCATGATTGATTGTGATTTTTTTTTCCTTCTAAAGATTGTTTATTCGAAGATTATTTTTTTCCCATTTGTTAGAATAAAAAGAAAAAAAAAAGTAATATTGTCCTCTAATCATTTGTGTGACTAAATCAAAATTATTAAAAGTAGTAAACGGTGTGTTTTTCATCTAAATATAGCCGACAATGACAATGATATAGCTGTCCTATACTAAATTTTCAGAATGCCCAAAACTTGAGTACGGACAAACTCTGTTGAATTACAGATTATTTTACTTTAGAATTACTTGAGAAAGTTTTTAGAGTTTTCGATGAGAGAGTTGGTGTGGATGATAAGCATCTCTCATTATAATCTTAAAGTTATAAGTTTGAATTATCAAGAGATCAGAAAGGTGAGAGCTCCTTAAAAAGGGGTAAAGAAAAAGTCTTGACAGTTTTCATAAATTAAAATTTAGTTTCAATTTCCTTGAATTTAATTTTCATTTATATGTGAAACAATTAATATACCTCAATTTTTTTGAATTGAAATGCGTCTAAATGTGTAACAAGTTAACCATGGATACTTTTGGTGTCTAAATTGTCTTTTCCTTAGGCAGCATGCTTCTGATCTTACAGTGTAGACACCATATAAAAGTATTAGGGTAGTTAGACAAAGGGAATAATAACTATACTCGAATAAAATAGATTAAAAAGATATAATGGATCAATATTTCAATAAAATATGTTTTTCAAATAAAAAATACATCAAGCTATCACAAATTTCTTTTCTATCATTGCATATAATTAAGGAACAGGGAACAAATTAGGGGAAAAGAAACTCTTAAAAGAAAAGGCAAAATATGAAATGAGTTGTACTACCGGGTGAAGCTACAGTGTAAATTAGGCTGACCAATAACTTTTCAGAACCCAATAAATTCAATTAAAGTCGGTCATTAACTAAAAATTCTGACTCTAACTCAACAAAATAACATTTACAATTTAATCGAATTCTTATATAATAAGTGTGTTACGTTAATTGAGACTATAAAAGTAACTTTTTTGTAGATATTTTGTTTTTCTAAATTTAGATTTTATATAAATTTGTTAATATTAAATTGCTAAAAACTCATAAACTTTAAATATTAAATTTCGAAAAGATAATTTGTACGAGATAGTTGAGAATGAGATTGGAGATATATTAATCAATTAATATTAAAGGTTTATGTATATGGTAAAGCATGCAAAGTTGCATATACGTGGTGACCCAATATGATAGCACCCTGCACCACAAAGATACTACTAACTACGACTCTTTATCCTACATTTAATTCTTGATGGGACTAGTTTTAAATTTAGACTAACCAAATGTGACTGCCTTCTCTTCTTCCTTTCTTTCAATTCACATAATACTACTTCATCCTCCATCCCAATTTACGTGACTCTTTTTAAATTTTGAGATTCAATAAACTTAATTTTTATCGATTTTTTTAAATATATTTTTAATATATTTAACTTGTAAATTATTATTACTCATAACACTTTTTAAATAGTTTACAAATATATAAATTTTATTTCAAGAAAATTAAAAATTTCATGCATAAATTTTTTGTCAAACTTAAATTGTTTAAATTTTGAAAAATGAAAAATGGCACGTAATATGAGATTCTCCTATGGAGTACTAATTATTTGGTGGTCAATAGAATACTTCCCACCAGCTGTATATTGCACACGTCCTCATAAATATAGAATTTATTTATACAATTTATTACTCCCTCCGTCCCTATTTACTTGTCCATATTTCCTTTTTTGGTTGTCCCTATTTAGTTGTCCATTTTGACAAATCAAGAAAGGACAACAAATTTTTTCCTATTATACCCTTATTTACACTTCTTGAAAATTGTAAAAGTGTATGTTGTTTCCCTCCAATTTATTTCACTTGAATTCAAATAAGTGGTTGTAATTTTGAAGTGAAAAGTTATCATAAAAGTAAAATTGTGATCAAAGTTAAAGGAGCGAACTACTTAAATCATGATTTTCTGATCACGTAACGATAAATTTACCAGTTAAGTCAAGATAGATAAATATTTAAAACTTTTAATAAAAATAGGGAAATAGTACTCTTGGGGTGTGATGCAATTTAGTAGGCCAAGAAGGGAACATCTCCAGAGTTGCTGCAGGTCTGTTTATGCCTGCTCCATATAAAGCTGTACACATCACACACAAAAATCAAAACATAATTAAAAAAAAATATTAAAAATATTTCTAAATTTAATGTAAATTATTACTCCCTCCGTCCCTATTTACTTGTCCATATTTCCTTTTTTGGTTGTCCCTATTTAGTTGTCCATTTTGACAAATCAAGAAAGGACAACAAATTTTTTCCTATTATACCCTTATTTACACTTCTTGAAAATTGTAAAAGTGTATGTTGTTTCCCTCCAATTTATTTCACTTGAATTCAAATAAGTGGTTGTAATTTTGAAGTGAAAAGTTGTCATAAGGGTAAAATTGTAACTTCACTGTGCTAATCATTGTTGCCTTAATCTGTGTGTCATTTCTAAAATGGACAACTAAAAAGGGACGGAGGGAATACCTTTCAAATTTTCAGTAGAATCTTTGTGTTTTTTTATTTATGACTTCTTGTTTTTATTGACTTATTACATCAAGCAAAGTCATTCGTGAAAAGTTCCACAGTTTTAGTCGGCGCAGACATTTAAACAACTTTCATGTATATATACTGTGTAACTCAGTTATATAGCCCTAAAAGGTAGTTTTACATAATCCTTATTTTGCTTAAGTAAATATCGTACGGTGTGAATCTAAATTATGAAACTTTAAATCAGACCAAAATGATCTCTATAATTTCGAAAACTATAATGTTTAAGTTGTGGCCAGGTTTTCATATGTTGATAGGAGTAGGGTCAAATATATAAAATGTGGCTCTTTCTATTTAAGGGAAGCCACAACCAACAGTCTTAAAACCGCACGTCCCAACTCCCCTCTCCCCACTTTTAGGAGACCTTTTCATGACCAAAACAATGTGTATTTCCAATCATACGTATTCATGACAAAATAACCCTTTTTAGGGCATCGTCTTGTGTTAATTTCTTTGTCATTTGTATGACCAATCAACCAATACGTCCCCGTCGATCGCTACATAAATGTACGTAATTTTTTTATCAAATATCATGATAGTAATTATACTATGCACCAAACTCAACCTCAACCTCAAAAAAGTTTAATTAATAAGGTGAAAATCGATCAAAACTATATAACAGTACCAATTACTGGGATTACTAACAATATTTAAGTTTATTTTTTCTTTTTACAAATCATGTTGTCCCTCACTTTTAGCAAATTAAGTTAAAATTCAACATGTGGGGTTATTAAAACTCTTTTACTTGCCGTCTGGCTTGAGACTTCATTTAAATATATCATGGGCTTAAGCTTTGACAAAGAGACAACCCATAAAAGACTTAAGAGAAATGTCAAGTAAA